GAAACCAGACCAAAATCCTGACTTGTTCCAGTTTGCCAGGCAGGGAGATCAGAGCGGTGTTTTTGCTGTCACCCCTGGCAGAGCACTACTTGCTATGGGCACAGCCACGGGAACTCTGCCAGAGCTGCCAGGAGCTGCCAGAGCTGCTGGGATCTGCTGGGAGCTGCTGGGATCTGCTGGGAGCTGCTGGGATCTGCCAGAGCTGCCAGGATCTGCTGGGAGCTGCTGGGATCTGCCGGAGCTGATGAGATCTGCCAGAGCTGGTGGGATCTGCCAGCTTTGCTGGATCTGCCGGCTTTGCCGGGATCTGCGGAGCTGATGAGATCTGCCAGCTGTGCCAGGATCTGCCGGAGCTGATGGGATCTGCCAGCTTTGCTGAGATCTGCCAGCTTTGCCAGGATCTGCCAGCTGTGCTGGGATCTGCTGGAGCTGCTGGGATCTGCCAGCTTTGCCAGGATCTGCCAGCTGTGCCAGGATCTGCCATCTTTGCCCCCCCCTCCTCGCTGCAGGGTCATGGGGAATGTCTTGCACACCTGCCCACTCTGCCACAGCCCCGCGTTGTCACCGAGGGAGAAGTGTTGACAGCATCACACGGAGCGAAGCAGGCTCGCAGCTGAGCCGGGATTGCTCAGCTCCTTGGCAGGGAAATGACAGGGCCCAAAGAGTGCCTGTCTCTCCAAGGAAATCCTGCAGCGCTTGGAGAGACATCACCTGGATCAGCAGCGGGAGGAAAAGGCTGGGAGCTGACAGAGCGTGCGAATACCAGGAGAAGAGGTTGGTGTGGGAGACCTCTCCCCACATCCCAGCTGCTTTATGGCTTGGGGGAACAGCCTGAGCAGGATGGAGATGGAGAACCTGCATGGAAAATGGGAGCTGGGGTCCTTCCTGCCCAAATTTTGTGCATGAAAGACAAAAGACAGCCTGCTGTGCACTCTTATTTTTTGGGACAAAAGCAAAGTCACCTCCCCGTGCACCCCCAGCCCCTGTCCTGGGTGGGTGCCCAGCGCACGGCCACAGAGCCACCAGCCATGGCCAGGTAATCCCTGCTGGGGGAGGGCCGGCCTAGCAAACCCAATTGTAAATACATCAGTGTCCTCCTTCTCCCTGCCACCCATTTAAATCTATTTGATCCACTCTAATGGATTGATCTACAAGTTTGTGCACACACATCCTGCTTTGGACGGGCGGCTGGCAGCGCCTCGCCCATCACGGCCTGTCAGCTCCACTCAGCCTCACCTCCAGCACAGAGCGAATCCAATTACAGGATAAAGGGTTTTCTTCCCCTCCATATGGTCTCTATAACGGTGTGGCTTTATCTTGCCTTAACCCCTTTCCTGGCGAAGGAGCTCACAAGCCCGGCCTAAGCGGCTCAGTGCTGCGGCCCTGGGTGGCTGCTATGTGATACGGGAAATGGGGTCTTCCCAGGGCACCCAGAGGCACATTCCTCCCTCTTTTCCTGCCCACTGGGGAGGAATGAGCCCCCACGGGAGGGAGATTCAGGGCAGCACTGCTTATAAAACCAGCCAGAAGCACAGGAGTGAGCTCAGCCGTGCAGTCGGAGTTGCGCTCACAGCCGGGGTTCACGGGGCTGTGCGTCAGCCCGGCACCAGGAGCTCAGCACAGATGTTCCCTTCATGACTGATTTGTTGTGCTCTTGCATTTCCCTCCACCTTGCTCTGCCAGGTGTTCCCTGGGTGCCCCTGGGCAAGTGGCTCCTGTGGTTCCTGTGCCCAGCAGGGCTGGGGATGAGCACCGCAAAGGGCTCCAGGAGCCCCCCTCCCCTGTGTGAGCTCTGCCTGTCACTGATCCCTGTGAACCAGGCGTGTCGGCTCTGTGCAAGCCGGTTATTTGATTATAATTATCATCCCTTGCTTTACACAGGACATGAAAGCCCAGAGCAGCTCAGGGCCCCGTCACGCCGCGCGCCGACAAACAACGAGCGAAAGACAATCCCAGCTCAAAGCAGGAAAACCTGCAAGGGGCAAGAAAAGCCTTTTCTTGAGGACAAACACAGAGCAGCAAAGCTCTCCTCCCGCATTAGGCAGGGCCTGGAATTTGCTGTTGTTGTAAAGTCAGCACAGAAAACAACCGGGAGCTCTCCTGGAGAGAGAGCAGCTCATAAACTTTCCCTGCTAAGAGACAGCAAATTAAAGCCATCTCTGTGACAGGGCTGCAGCAGGAGCTGAGGTTGCATTCAGGACACGTCCTGGAGGGACCAGCCACCCTCAGCGGTGTCATTTCCCTGCTCTGGGTTTACTCAAGGCCTTGGCCATTGCTCCGGCTGTGCTGACCTGCCCGGAGCTCTAAATCCACCGGCCTCGGGGCAGTGACCCCAGGGGACAGGTCCGTGAGGACAGCTGGGAGGGGACAGCCCTCTTACAAAGCACAGGTGCCTCAGGCTTACCTGCTCCACAGGCAGCTCCTGAAAAAGGGGAAGGACCTGGTCCAGGTTGGTTGAAACCCTCTCAGTCCAGTTATCTCTTTGAAAGGGGTCTGGGGACCACCCGTAAACCCAAATCTCCTCCACATTCAGCTCCCAGGGTGAGTGGAGAAGGTCTTCTGAGCCAGGAAAGGTCCATCTCCCAAAAAGTGCAGCTGCGTGTTCCCCCAGCATGGAGATTCATGTCCCTCTTCCCCCCACAGCTTCCTTTGCACCACTCTTGACTTTAGAAGAGGGCAGGACACCCCAAAGTGGTGTCAGGAAGGGATGGGATGTGACAGTTGACTTTCCCATGGGGTACCTGTGTCCACATGCAAAGCCTTGGAGAAGCACCAGAACTTTGGGATGCTGCTAGCACTGTCAGCGAGGCCTAAATGTTTTTGAAGTGAAATCTTGGAGCTGAAGACTTGCTTTATCTTTTGAAGATGGGCCACCACAGTGAAATATTGGAGCTGGAGGGAAGGAAAGGTCCATCTCCCAAAAAGTGCAGCTGCGTGTTCCCCCAGCACCGAGACTCATGTCCCTCTTCCCCCCACAGTTTCCTTTGCACCACTCTTGACTTTAGAAGAGGGCAGGACACCCCAAAGTGGTGTCAGGAAGGGATGGGAGGTGACAATTAACTGTCCCATGGGGTACCTGTGTCCACATGCAAAGCCTTGGAGAATCACCAAAACTTTAGGATGCTGCTAGCACTGGCAGCGAGGCCTAAATGTTTTTTGAAGTGAAATCTTGAAGCTGAAGATTTGCATTCTCTTTTGAAGGTGGGCCACCAGTGAAATACTGGAGCTGGAGGGAGTTGCTTTCTCCCATGGGAGCTGGGAGGTGCACACTGGAATTGAGATGGATGCACAGCTGGTTTTGTGGATTAGAATTTCTGGGATCCCCTTTGATATTCATCTCATTCTGCAACAATGTGCCAAATTGTTGTACATCTGGAGCCTGACTATGGCCAGGAGAGGCAGGAAATTCCTCCAGGGAAAGCTCTGTGAGAAGCAGGGCCATGGGACTCCTCCACTTTCCCCTCATCCCCTCAAGCAAGACCTGGACCAGGAATGTGGTTCCTGATGGTTTCATGGTGTGACGATTCCAAGAGGCACATCCATCCCGTGGGGAGCCCTCATCCCGGGGCACCTGAGGCTGGCCTGACCCACTTCCCTGCACCACGTCCTACTTCTGCACCCACTGGATCAGGAATTAGGACACCATCCATGCCAACACCCCTTTAGCCTTCCGCTCCCAGCCTCCAGCTCGGAGACGCTCCAGGCGTGCAGGAGACCTCATTCATCCCACGGGACAACGGAGACTTTTTCCATAGGGCCTGCCTTGAGGAGGAGGAGGCCCAGCTTACCTCGTTATCCGATCAGCTCCCTTAACGCCCCACATCCCCAGGATTAATGGCAGAGCTTCCCTAAGGCGCCTTAGGCAGGTCCCCTGGAGAAGGAGCACCCATGACCCAGAAGGAAGAAATGGGGAAGCAGAACTTGGATGAGATGGAGCATTGGCACTGGCCCTGCTGGGAATGGTTTCCCAGGCTCGTGTGTGCTGGGATGGGGATCTCACACTCCGTGCTGAGAGCCTGGGAAAAGCTCCCTTCCATCCCTCTGGCTCTCCCATAGAGAAAGGGAGAGGGATGGAAGGGAGCTTTTCCCTTTTCCAGGCTGTGCTGGTCTCTCCACACTCTCTGCAGGGAGTTCAGGACACCTTTGCTCTCCTTTGCCCTGTGGCACAACCAGGGGTGTGATCAGGGTCAGGCAGCCAAGAGCCTTGCCCCAAAATGCTACATTTACCAAAAAAATTACCAACTGCAGTACCTTTGGGATGGGAAGTGGCTTCCCCTCCTACCTTTGCCCAGCTCCAGGCCCTTGGCTGTGTCAGCAGAGCCTGGATTTGGGATGCAGACCCCAGCAGTCCCCACACTGAGCCAGGCACCTGAAACAGAGCCCAGCCAACAGCTCAGACCCGCAAAGCTCAGTCCAGTCTTCCCCCAGTGACCTCCCCAAGGTCAGTGGGGCAGAGCTGGCCACTCCCCAGTCCCCAAGTGGTCTCACAGAGTCCTTCAGCCACCCAGGGACACCCCAAACCTGTGACACACTGTGGACCCCAGAACAGCCCATTTTCGCGTCGGCCACTCCCAAACTCCCCACTGCTCCTCCCACCTTTGCCCCTCTTCCCAAGCGCTCCCCACCCCATCCCTTCCTGCCCCCAACACCTTAAACAACATTAAACACTTAATGGCAATTAATACGCTTTAATGCAGGTTTTGGGGCCAACTGGCTGCTTAGAGGGTGCTTAAACCATCAACCCCTCTCAATCCCGTTGCCCTTGTCATACAAAGTTAGCCGAGCCCCTCGTCAGCCTCCCCCCTCCCTCGAGGAGGCCGGAGGGTATAAAACCACCCAGGGGCGCGGCACCGCCAGCCCCCGGCGCGGCGCAGGGCAGGGCACCACCTCCATCCCCTCAACTTCTGCTGCTCCTTGTAATTCATTAATTTTTTAGTTTGGGGGGGAACCCTCTCACTGCGCACTTTCCGCGTTGGGAGGGGGTGGGGCTTCCCTTTTTTTATTAATCAGGGTCGGAACGCAATTCGTTGCAGAAAACCCCTCCGGCAGAGCAGCTCCCGTAGCGAGGGCAGGATGAACGGGACGGAGGGGATCAATTTTTACGTGCCTATGTCCAACAAGACGGGGGTGGTGCGGAGCCCCTTCGAGTACCCGCAGTACTACCTGGCCGAGCCCTGGAAATACCGCCTCGTGTGCTGCTACATCTTCTTCCTCATCTCCACCGGCTTCCCCATCAACTTCCTCACCCTCCTGGTCACCTTCAAGCACAAGAAGCTCCGGCAGCCCCTCAACTACATCCTGGTCAACCTGGCGGTGGCTGACCTGTGCATGGCCTGCTTTGGTTTCACCGTCACCTTCTACACCGCCTGGAACGGCTACTTCGTGTTCGGCCCCACCGGCTGCGCCGTGGAGGGATTCTTTGCCACGCTGGGAGGTAAGGCATGGGAATGGGGGCTTGGGGCTTCCTTCTGCAGGGCTTTGGGAGTCTGGTTCCGTCCCTTCATGGCACTGTTGGGATGTGAAGCCTCGTTCCCCTTTGTGTGGGGCTCGCGCTGCACTTAAAATGGGGGAGGAAAAGAGATTTCTGCGTGTTTGACCTTGGTAGCAAGGAGCCTCCGTGGCATGGTGGGAGGGAAAGGAAGCCTGGGAAGGGATCCTTGTTTGTAGGATCCAACCTGGGGTCACCTGGCCCTGATGGTCACTGGCGGTTGTGATGCCAAGGTGGTTACCAGAGACCCACCAGGGATGACCACAGCGTGTTCCCGAATCAATGCCAAGCAGCTCGGACCAAGAACAGGCTTGGACTTGATCACCTTAGAGGTCTTTTCCTAACCTTCACGATTCCATGATTATTCCTTTGCCCAAGGGCTTCCCTTTTTGGGGAAGTGGAGGGTTTAGAAGGAGAAGAGAAATCCCTCAGGGAGGGAACTCCACAGAAGAGCTAGAGGTGTGGAGAGACGAGAGGGCTCAGAGCTTATCCAGGGACAAAAGAAAGGTGAGGAGGATCTAGGTTGGTTCCCAGGTTCCTCAAGGATGGCTCAGCTCTGTCTCAGATGCACCAGATTTTTGCCCTTGGGATTTTCCTTGAGGCGTTTCTCAGGGACACACACGAGTGCTGCCAACACTTTGCCCTGCAGAAAAACAGGGAGAATTCACTCAGCAGCCAGAGCCCACACAGCCAGCCCTGCCCACGCCACACCTCGTGATGGATCTGACAGCCACCAGGCCTTGTTGGAGAGACCCAGAGCCACCACAGGGGCTTTGCTTTCCTTCTCCTAAACAGTGCCACTTCCCACAAAGATGCTGCTCTGGAAATACACATTTTAAAAATATGGATATTCTGGCAAAGGCACAGCTGAATGTCCTGATCCAAGCCAAGGAGCGAGGAAAGGCTTGGTTTTGGGGTGGGAAGATCCCAAAGTCTGCTCCATCCCTGCTCAGTGAGCCTTGGGCAGCATTATTTTGCCTTTCCAATGTTTGTACCTCCCAGAGGAGGAGGAGGAGGCTCCTGTTCCCAGGGAAGGAAGTTGGCTGGGAAGCAGCGGCTGTGTGAGCAGCAGGTCCCCAGCGAATCCCAGCACAGGGTGTCGTTATCAGCAGCTTATCACAGCTGGGGGCATTAGCAGGCTTACAGCACCGACTAAATGCTCCCAAATCCCCTGAAGTTTAATTATCCCTCATAAATACATGTGCACGTTTCCCACCCACACAGTCCCCCCTCCCCGCACCTCCCCTGATCCAGCGCCAGCAGAAGGCTCGTGAAATGCACATTTAAAGGAATCAACAGGTTTGGAGGCATCTGGCAGCATTGCCAGGAATTGTGCTTCCCCACGCCCTGGTGGGATTCACTCCCTTGATTCTTAATTTATTAAACCCTTCCACTCCCAGCATCCCCTCGGCTCCCAGAGCTTCTGCACATTATGGGTGGAGGATTCCCAGTTTTCTAGCAGGATGCTGCTTATCCCACGGTGATCCCCACCTCCCTCTGCTCTCCTCTGGAAGCACCAAGGGAAGGTGGAGCCCAGAGGGGCCCTGACCACTCCGTGGGCTCTCCCTCTCCTCCCCGCAGGCCAGGTCGCCCTGTGGTCCCTGGTTGTCCTGGCCATCGAGCGCTACATTGTCATCTGCAAGCCCATGGGCAACTTCCGCTTCTCCGCCAGCCACGCCATCATGGGCATCGCTTTCACCTGGGTCATGGCCGTTTCCTGCGCCGCCCCGCCGCTCTTCGGCTGGTCCAGGTGAGCCCCGGGATCCCCAGCAGCTCCCGGATCCCTCCATTCCTGCAGGGAGAGCAGGTGGCTCCCGGCAGGGAAGTGCTTGGCCTCGGAGGAGGGAAATGAATGTCCCATTCCTGTGGGAGGGAGGGAGTGTCACAACAAGGGGACACTGCGTGCTCGAGTGCACCCAAACCACGTGTACCACCCTTCCAGCGTCCCCCATCCTCAGGGAATTCCATCCCTGTTGCCCCCAAGGTGGGTCCCGGAGCAGATTCCGACCTTTCTCCCTGCCAGGTACATCCCAGAGGGGATGCAGTGCTCCTGTGGGCCCGACTACTACACCCACAACCCCGACTTCCACAACGAGTCCTACGTGCTCTACATGTTCATCATCCACTTCATCATCCCCGTCGTCATCATCTTCTTCTCCTACGGGCGCCTCGTTTGCAAAGTCCGCGAGGTAACGGCCGGAGGGGACTGATGGGGACAGGGGGGTGGCTTGGGCAGGATGGGGGACGTGGGTTAGGCAGGGAGAGCAGCCCCTCACCCCCCCTGTGTGCACAGGCAGCTGCCCAGCAGCAGGAATCAGCCACGACCCAGAAGGCAGAGAAGGAGGTGACGCGGATGGTGATCCTCATGGTGCTGGGCTTCATGCTGGCCTGGACGCCCTACGCCGTGGTGGCGTTCTGGATCTTCACCAACAAGGGCGCCGACTTCACGGCCACGCTGATGGCAGTGCCTGCCTTCTTCTCCAAGAGCTCCTCCCTCTACAACCCCATCATCTACGTGCTCATGAACAAACAGGTGAGACGCCCTGGGGCTGGGCAGCACGGCTGGGGGCTCCACGGGCACGTTGCTCCTTCCCAGAAGGATCTCAGTCCGGGGACTCCTGGTCCTGTAGCACGTCCCTACTATCCCCCAGTGCCACCATTGTCATTTCTGTCCCCTCCCCAGTTCCGTAACTGCATGATCACCACGATCTGCTGCGGCAAGAACCCCTTTGGGGATGAAGAAACCTCCTCCACCGTATCCCAGAGCAAGACCGAGGTCTCCTCCGTCTCCTCCAGCCAAGTATCACCTGCATAGAGCATGGACAGTTTGAACTGGGGTGACCTGCCGAGCTCGGGGACCCAGACAGACGCCCCACAGCCATTCCCTCGTGCCCCGGCCCCCTCCCCTGCAGGGGAATTTAGCTGTGCCCCTCCTGCCGTAGCTGTGCAGACCCCACCCCACACATCCACGGGGACCCACACGTGGCACTCTGAGCTCTGCCACTCCGAGCCTGGGGAGCCCAGGGCTGTGGCCCAGCTCCCAGGAGCACGTCACCTCTGGGGGACTGTCCCTGCCTGTCCCCATCGAGTTCAAACAGCTGCAGTTGATGGGGACCCCAAACTTTTCCTGCCTGAATGCCGCTCCCTGGGCTCCTGGGAGCGTCCAGGAGCATCCAGGCCTCATTTGCAAAAATCTAAATATTCTGGCAAAGCCCCAGGAGCAGGACCCCGTGGCTGGGGTGGCCCCACCTGCCCCTCACCATGGCCTGAGCCTGGGGCTCTCCGGAGCCACGCTCCCGCTGGGATTCCCACCAGGAATCGATTCCTGCAGCCTCTATAAATCAATAGAACAAACGGAGCCACGAGCGGGCTCTGCTTCCAGCCCGGCTCCCTCTATCCCCAAGACAACACTGTAGATACATTTTTTTTGTCTTGGAACCTGTAAATATTTGCTCACGTCCTTTGAAATCTCTATCCCTCTCAGCCCTTTCCTTTCTCCTCCTCTTCCCCACTCCAAAGCAGAGAAATTCCCCTTCCACCTCTGCTCTGGCTGGACAGGCACGGCCACCCTTGGAGGGTGGGGCCGGGACCCGAGCGCTTTCCTGTACATATTTTATAAATAAATAATCTCATGTCAGCACAAGGACGTCTGCAGTCAAGGAGTAGGGATTAAAAAAAAATAAGAAATAAACAGAAGCAGCACAGAGAAAATACAGATGCTCAGTCCTTGTCCTTTCTCTTGGGCTGTGGGGACAAGACACTGTCTCAGTCCTTGTCCTTTCTCTTGGGCTGTGGGGACAAGATGCTGGTGGCCAGCTGGGGGAACACGATGCTGCTCTTGGAGACACAAGCCTGCAGCTGTCCCAAAAGCCATGGGAAGGGAGATCTGTGGGTGACACCATCCCCACAAGGTGACAGCCCCATTAGCTGGAGCACCAAAGGTGTTTAGAGGCAAAAAGAGACACACAGGGCACAGCCCTCGCTGCCCAGCCCGGGGTTTTTGTGCTTTAATATTTAAGATTTCCCCATGTAGCCTTAAATAAAGCTTCAGCTGAGAGCTTCTCACAGAGTTCAGGTTCCCCTTCCTGCGTGGCCCTTCCAGACAGCGTTGTGGCAGAATTGGCAGAATCAGGGAAAAATTGTTCCCTGTGTCAGTGAATTCATTCAGGAGCGGATGGAGAGGGATCCCAGTGGCAGAACCTTGCCCTCCTCCCCTCCCTGCTCAGCTCACACCTCCCCTCTCCAGTGTTTTTCCTCCTTTTTGGGTCCAAAGCCATCAAAACCAGCAGGAAGTCTCAGACTGATCCCTGCCATGGGAAGGCAGGGGTTGGAGGCACTTTTTGCCCCAAAACACCAGGCCTGGGAGGGGAAGGATGAGCCCCAGCTCTCCAGGCACCCTCTTGTCTCTGCACCCACCCAAATTCAGGGCTCCTGGCCAGGATTGCCCTGGAGCAGCTCCCACAGCACTCCTGCTGTGCTGAATGATTCAAGACCACTCTGCCCATCCCAGGAGCTTTTTTTCCTTCCCTACAAAGCCCCTTACCCAACTCAGAACTGATTTCTTCAAACCATGCGGGCAGGGGAGGAGCAGCCATACCCAAAAACCCAAACCTCACCCAGCCCAACAGAAAAGCAGCTCCCCTTGAAAATTCCCCCTTTCCTTCCACTTTTCCATAAATACATGGATTTACCCAGGCACTGCATTTGCAACCAGCAGAGACCATCCTGGCATCACCCACTCAGGGCAGGCACCACCAGCTGCTCCAGCACTGCTGGCCTGGCACTGCTGCCACCCAAATTCAGATGCAAACTGAGGAGAGCAGCCAGACTCATCCAGGGAATGCAGACAGCTGGAATCTCGGGCCCAAAGGGCATTTCAGTGTCTGACTCCCATCCTTCTGCAGCTGGGACTGTTCCTCCTCATCCCAGCACTGCTGTCAGCTGCTTTAGGAAAACTGCAGTAATTGGCTCAATTCATTTTAAATCAGTTCTCGTTTGTGCAAGCAGCACTCAGGGAAAAGCAGCTTGGAGTTAATAACGTCCTGATTTGGAGCATCCACAGGGATGAGGGGAAAATCTCAATGAGGTGTTCTAGGTCTTTGCCCCACAGCCCTGGGCACAGACAGAACCCCAAAAAAAGGGACAAATCAGGCTCCTGGCCCGGTGCTGTTCCCCACAACCCTCATCCTGCCCAGGGCTGATCTCTCCAGGCTGGAATGGCACTGCCTGCATTTCTCCCAGGACATTTTTATCCCATCAGTGCAGAAGGAGCAGCTCCATGCCAGAGGGTCTGGCTCTGCTCATTTGTCTCTGCCAAAGGAACAACATCTCCTTGTCCAGCCACTCCAGCAGCTCTGGGAACAAGAAGATTAAAGCCCTCAAACACTCCCTCCTTCCCTCTGTGCCATCACACACAGGGCTGGGGGGGCCAGATCCCTCTCTGGGGCGCCCAGACCTGCTGCCAGGGGGAAAAGCTGCTCCTCAAGGGAAAAATTGCTGGAACTAGAGCTTGGGAAAAGCCAGGATTGCCCCTGACAGTGCCAGGGGCACCTTGCACAGCCCCAGCAGCCCAGGGAGACCCAGGCAGTGCTTGCCTCCCACCCAGGAGGCTTCAGGAGTCCCCAAATTTGTGTCACTTTGTGTCACATCCCCAGCCCGAATCCTTCACGGCTGCCTGTGTCACGTTAGCAGCAATAAAAGGATTCAAACAGCAATTCCTTACTTTTTATGAACAAATGGCCCTGGCTGGATGATTCAGGCAGCATTCAATTCCCAGCCAGAAAGTGTCAGCAAAATCCCAGCCTCTCACATGTAGGTGGATAACTGCAAATGAAAGGAGGGAATTATTAGCACTTAATTCTCGGTGGGTTTGCACTCCCCAGTGCTCCTCTCTGGGAGATGCTGAATGCTCCAGTGCTCCAGCAGCTGGGAGGGCCCTGCCAAGGGGGCTGCAGGGACTGGGGTGATGGCTTTGGACACTGGGATCGACCTCACCCCACGGCCAGGGCCCTGCTCCAGCCCAGCCCCACTAGAACCCCTTGTCTCCTCCAGCCTGTCCTTTCCACAGCCCTTTTCTCTTCTGATCCATCCTCTCCAGAACCCCTTTTATCCTCCAGACTTTCCCTTCCAGAGCTCTTTTCTCCTCCATCCAATCCCATCCCATCCCATCCCATCCCATCCCATCCCATCCCCTCCCATCCCATCCCATCCCCCTTTTCTCTTCCAGCCTGTCCTTTCCAGAACCCCTTTTTTTCCTCCATCCCATCCTCTCCAGAACCCTTTTTCTCCTCAGACTTTCCCTTCCAGAGCCCCTTTTCTCCTCCAGCCTGTCCTTACCAGAATCCCTTTTTTCCTCCATCCCATCCCCTCCAGATCTCTTTCCTCCTCCCCACACCCCCTCTCCCATCTCCCCCTCCCCACCCAGGGAGCCTCAGGGACCCCAAGCCCTTGGTGCCACAATCCCCCCAGCTCCAGATGGATCCAGGGAGGTTCCCCGAGCACCTGGGGCTGCTCCTGGCCGTGCAGCAGCGTGCTCCACACTCTCCATTTCTCCTTCACCCAGCCTGCCCGTATTTTTCTTGTTCATCAGACTGACAAATGGGCAGAAAACAGACTCCTGGTGATTTCCTGCACAGGCTGCCCACTCCTCCTCTCCCCTCGGCGATGACTGAGAGCTGAAAAAGCAGGAATAGCATATAAATTTCCTCCCTGCTTTAATAAATACCTCTATTACCTTGTGCTTTCCTCCGGCTCACTGTGCAGCTCCTGCTGCCCGCCAGGCAGACGTGATAAACCAAAATTCACATTTCCGTGGGGAATCAGCAGCAGGGCTCAGGCAGGCTGGCAGCAGCATGGGAGGGGTGAAGCTCCCACCTCGGGGGTCTGGCTGCAGCTTCACATCATCCCACAGGGAGATAAATTAATTCATTTATTACCAAAAGGGAGCTGGGGTTTGTCTGGCCCCTCTGTGGACACCCTGTCCTGGTCCCAGGGGGAGGAGGGGTCCCACCATTCCCAGGGCTTGTCCCAGACACCTCTGTGCCCCTCGGGGTGAGCCTGGCATTCCTGAAGGGTGGGAATAAAAACCCTGCTAAAATCTCAGCCAGAGGGTGCAGGGGGAGCAGAAGGGTTTGGTGGTGGAGGGAAAGCTGTCACAGCTGGGATCTGTGCTGGATTCCTCCTCCCTGGGCCTCATTCTCATCCAAATCCATGCCTGGGGCTCTCAGGACACCCAGGACAGGATGTGTCACTGTCCCTTGGCCAGGAGACCCCTGAGCAGCGCAGGAGCAGCCCGAGCATCCCAGTGGGATGCAGAGACCCCCTCCATCCCCAGCCCACCCCATCTGAAGGACAACAGGCAAAAGCCACCGGCCTTTTACACCCCCTGGGGCACCAGTGTCCCCTCTGCCACCCCCAGCACAGCCCGATGCAGCCCTGCCAGTGCCACTGTCCCCATCCCCCGGGCACAGCGCCGCAGCCTCGGCTCCTCCTCCCCCAGAGCCGGATTGATGCAGCGCTTTGCAAAGCCGGGGAAAAAAAAAAAAAAAAAAAAAAAAAACAAAAAAAACCACAAAAAACAAAAAAACACCTTCAAAAGGAGCATTAGGAGGTGGCAGCCACCCAATTTCCCCCTTAGCCGGCTATTGCTGTGTCTCATCTGCTTCCTGGAGTCTATTTAACTTCTGCATTTAACAAGCTCCTAAACAAGCAGCAGCAGCAAGTGGCAGCGCCCGGCTCCCTCCCTGCGAGTGGCATTTGGGGGCCCAGCCCGGGAATGGGAAATTCCTCCGAAGTCGCTTTGATTTATGGCTCTCGTTAATTCTCCAGGAGGGCCCCG